TCGACATGAAAGGGACATATCGAGTGGTTGCCACCCACACAACCCAACCAGGGCTGGGGACAAACTGCAACGGAAGTTTGTGCCCTTAGCAGGAACCAAACCCGGGTCTCTCCAGACCGCAGGCCAATGCTCTAACCGCTGAGCCAAACCGGTCAGGGCACCCTAGCACTTTCTATCAGGCAAATCCTTTTGTGTTGCTACTATTATTGCATTGTAAGCATTGAATGATACTTATGTTACCGATATCTTCTAAAAGTAATACAATATACAATGTGGTTAAAATATAGTTTTCTTTCTTTTTTTGTTACTCTTTATCTGAGAATATATATATATATATATATATATATATATATATATATATATATATATTTATCCTCACCCGAGGACATTTTTCCATTTTTTGTTCAGATAGAGTGGGAGGAAGAGAGAGAGAGAGGAAGAGAGAGAGAGGGGGAGAGAGAGAGAGAGAAACATCGATGTGAAAGGGACACATTGAGTGGCTGGCACCCGCCAGGGACAAACTGCAACCGAGGCACGTGCCCCTAGCGGGAAGAGAACCCGGGTGTCTCTGGACCACAGGTCGATGTTCTAACCGCTGAGCCAAACCGGCCAGGGCTAAGAATATTTTTTTCATTGATTTTTTTTAGCTAGAGTGGAAGGGAGGGAAGGAGAGAGAGAGAGAGATCAATTGGTTGCCTCCCACACAACCCCGACTAGGGTGGGGATCCAACTAAGGTGGGGATCTGACTTAGGTGGGGATACTATCTGCAATCCAGGTACATGTCCCTTGACCGGGAATCAAATCTGTGACCCTTTGTTCCATGGGCTGATGCTCTAACCACTGGGCTAAAATGAAGGTTATTTCAACCACAAACCTCATGTCTATTTATTAAAAATAAGAGAAATACTACTCTGTTGCATTGGCATAACAATTCAAGAGACAGAATGTAAAGCAACCATTTTTTGTGTACAGTAGAATAATCCCGTATGGCAGATGAAAAAAAATGGAAGTATTTGGTCCAAAGAAGCAAACCTGATAGGTTTGGTTAGACACTCATAGTGCTGGTTCACTTTAAAAATTGAGTTAGGCCCAGCCAGTGTGGCTCAGTGGATTGAGTATTGTCCCATGAACTGAGAGGTCCCAGTTAGATTCCCGGTCAGGGCACATACCTGGGTTACAGTCTCAATCCCCAGTAGAGGGATCACATTGATGTTTCTAGCTCTCTCTTTCTTTGAAAGATCAATAAAAACATATTACAAAAATTGAGTTAGTCCCCGGCTGGTTTGGCTCAGCAGTTAGAGCACTGTTCCACAGGACCTAAGGGTTGCAGGTTCAATTCCTGGCCCTGGTTGGGGTCACGTGTGAGGCAACCACTTGATGTGTCTCTCTTACATTGATGTTTCTCTCTTTCTCTCTCCCTCCCTCTCTTCCACTCTATCTAAAAAAAAAAAAAAAAAAAAAAAAATCAATGGAAAAATATCTTCTGGTGAGGATTAACAACAACAACAAAAATTGAGTTAGTTGCCAACATTTAATATAATTAAAATGTAAAACTTTAATTAAATCATGACAGTCTTGCCCATTTAGGGTTACTTACCTTACTCCTATAGCATTTGAGTTGGTGATCCCTGTTTTATAGGAAGAAAAATCTAATACTCCCTTCCAGAAGAAAACAGCAGAATTTTGGCAGATTATACTTACCTTGATACCCCTTGAATTATGTCTACTTTAATATCAGTACTCTTATCAGATATAGAAATCATTATTAATAATCTGTAAACTAAGGGATTTAATTTAGGAATAATAAAAATACACAGGCTTGCCCTGGCCGGTTTGGCTCAGCGGTTAGAGCCTCGGCCTGTGGTCCAGAGAGACCTGGTTTCGGTTCCCGCTAAGGGCGTGTACCTCGGTTGCAGTTAGTCCCCGATCCTGGTTGGGTCATGCAGGTGGCAACCACTTGATGTGTCCCTTTCACATCAATGTTTCTCTCTCTCTCTCCCTCTCCCTCCCACTGTATCTAAACAAAAAATGGAAAAATGTCCTCGGGTGAGGATAAAAAAAAAATATGCAGGCACACAGGTTCAAATATATCAGGACAGCTGTAACCATTTGCTCTGAAGGTTTATAGAATGTTTGGGATGATAGAGATAAGACATGAATGGGGCAGGATATCCCACATTAGTGTCAAATGTTACATTTCAATAGCAAAATCCAATACCATTTTAAAAGTTGGGTGTCTAGCCCTGCCGGTGTGGATCAGTGGTTGAGTGTTGACCCATGCACCAAGAGGTCACTGGTAGTTCAATTTCCGGTCAAGGCACATGCCTGGGTTTCAGGCTTGATGCTTAGTAGGAGGTGTGCAGGAGTCAGCCAATCAAGGTCTCTCTCTCATTGATGTTTGAACTATCTCTCTCTCACTCTCCCTTTCTCTCTCTCAAAAATCAATAAAAAATAAGATAAAATAAAAGTTGGGTTCCTAGAGCATTAGTGTCTGTTAAAATTCATCAGAGAGCTAAACTCACTTTAGAAGAGATATATGATAACATTGACGAAAATGAACACATTTTGATTAGTAACAAGATTATCTAACATAGATCAGTTGGTATAAAGTATTTAAAAATTATAAAGGTCCCAAACTTATGCCTCCTCTCTCTCAGATATGTAGCAGGGAACACTTGGAAACTTGGAGTGGGAGCAGGAAGGAATTGAGGGATCTTGTCATCCAAACCTGCAAGAGGGATTATTCATGGATGCATTTGGAGTATATTCTCCTTAAGACTCATTACTTGTCAAAAAATATCTGTGTAACATGTAACTACTAAAATTATGAATTCTACTGTCAGGCAGACCTCTTTTCAGCCAGATTTGCTTTTCCTGATCTCTTGAGCTGCTCTGAATATAAACAGGTATTGAGATAGGATGCTACATACACAAAAAGAAGAGAAAAATGATAAAACTCAGGCTGATGCCACTGGTTGGGGTCCAGGTGCCCAGGACATACTAGCTAGACCAAGCAGAAGCACTATTGGAATGGAGGCTTCCATCGTGCAGTTGCCCTCACCCTGACAAGTTGTGCTGGACTCCAAAAAGCACAGCACAATGAACTTAGTTCCTGAACCAGACTCTAAGTTGCATCATGTTCTTCTCAGCTCTAGACATGTTATTCTCTTTGCCTGAAACACTGGCTCCCCACCCCCTCCTTTTTCTATCAACTACTTCTTGTTCATCCTTGAGGTTTCAGCTCTACCTCTGGGAGTCCATCTTGACCTTCCAGACTAAGCTATGTGCCCTTTGTTTGTATCCCCAGGACTTGAAAAGCATGGATCACACTGAATTGTAATCAATCGTTTACTTGTCTATATCCCCTCATCACTCCAGAGCTCCATGAAGCCAAGTGCCAGGTCTGCCTTACTCACATCTGTATTTCTAATGTGGAGTAAGTTACTCAGAAGATGTTGGTTGGATGGTTGAATAAACTGCCATCCAGCCAGTCTGCTTATTAGCTCACTCAGGTACTTTCTGCTGGCCCCTCAGCTGTAGGACTGTCTAGAGTTTGTGGGAAGAGCACAGAAGATGGCCAACAATGGCCTTGATGCCTAACAGAATATCAAGCAGAAATTGTTGGGACAAGTGAACCAGAGGTTTGGTATGTGGCCTGGAACTTCTCAAAGACCTGTCTGGAAAGAATGAGATGGGAATGGAGAATATGTGTGTGGAGGAGAGGAAGGAATCTTGGAAATATCTCTTCAAGGCAAAGAAAGAGATAATAACATCTTGACTATAAACTGAGAATTAAATACCAGATGTCAAGAATCTAAAAGGATGAAAAGGGATTTCTTGGAAGACCCAACTCTTCAATAGAACCATGGAGCTACCAGAGCCCCTTGTACTGAGCATGAAGTCTGAGAGGGTAAGCAAAATTAGTTCAATAAATATCTGTCCATTGGATTCTATTTTCTCTCTTGGGAAGCTTCTTTCTCCTAACGAAACCATGGTTGATCTTGGGTAAAGCAGGCAGAGTCTCATCTAAGGGAGAGAGTCAGCAGACATCAGGAAGGGCTATAGGCAGATGTAAGACCCAAGGGTGAGAAAGACACCAAGAACTGACACCAGATGCTAGCATTGCCTTTCTAGCAAGGAAGCTGGTCAGAACACAGCTGGTTGTCACAAAGCACAGGCTCTCAACCCCTCCTGTTCTTAAGGAGCATTGGTCTTTCTGTACCAGGAAACAGTGCAGCTAAAAAACTTTCAGCCTTTCCATGGTCTTCAGCATAGAGTCAATTCCTTAACATGGTCTACAAAGTCTGTTATTCTGGTCTCATCTTTGACCATGAGTAAGTAGCCAGACAATTGCAGTGAAGGAATGAGTGGCCCAACCCAGAGTGGACTGGGTTCTCTGCAATCAGAAGAATCTGGAAAAGGAGGTTAACACCTTTTTCTTCAAACAAAGAAGAACCTGGAAAAACAGGAATGAATTTTCTCTAGGGACAAGGTGACAAGAGCCCCATTCCTCTATCTCCAGCATCTGCTTAGGCTCTACCTGATTCCCTGGGTCTGGGAACCCTGGGACCTCATCCCTTCCTTAAAAAGATTTTAGAATTAATTTTTAGAAAGAGAGGAAGGTAGAGAGAGAAAGAGAAAGACAGAGAGAGAGAGAGAGAGAGAGAGAGAGAGAGAGAGAGATGGTCTGCCTCCTGCATGTCCCTACTGGGGATTGAGCCCACAACCCAATGCATGTACCCTTACTGGGAATCAAACTGGCAACCTTTGGTGCATGGGACGATGCCCAACCAACTGAGCTACAACAGCCTGGGCTCATTACTTCTTAGTCTGAGCTGGGATACTTTAGCTGTTTCTGATACTGTGCAACTCTGGACCCCACGTGGCCCCTTGACCCAAGGAAGTTCTAGTAATAAACTGTGGATAGGACTGGCTCCAGGAGTGGACCCACCATACCCTACATGGGTGATACCCTGAGGTTTGTCAGGCAGGACATTACCTCCTCGGCCCTCACTGGCAGCCGGCTTCACTTGGATTGGACGGTTCATCTGAAAAACAATGGACCAACACACCCAGTCAGCATGTCTGCCTGGTTCTCGGACCCCTCAGCTTCTCCATCTGTGGACTCTTCAGGATCTAAGCCCTGGATCTTTTGAACCCCACACTCCACCTCTCTCACACTGGGATTATAGATTTTCTCCAAGATTTCTTCCCTAAACCAAGACATTTAGAAGGTGCTTAAAACCTTAAGGGTTGGGTGATAGGAAACTCAGTGGCAAGTTCAGGATAGACTGTTGAGGCTAAAGAGATTCTCTTGCCTTGGGCTCTGGAAAGGAACCATGTGAGGCCTGTCCCTCTGGCTCCTGGACTTCCTTAAAGGCTTTGGGTGGGAGAGTAGAATTGGTATTGCAGATTTGTGGTTTGTGCCTCAAATAGAATATGATTCTAGGTGTCATTTAGATTAAACAATCTGGGAATCAGACTTAGTGCTGTCTATCCCCAACTCTGCCATTTAATGGTTGTATGACTTCCAGTAAGCCACCCTCTCCCATTCAACTTATTAAATGGAGAAAACCTTCTCAAAGCTTCTGTGTCACCACAGTGTCCACCTTTTAGTCCCCTCCCTGTGTCCCCCTTCCCCTGAGGATGTTGCAGTTCTCTAGGGCATCATCCTTGGCCTGCTCATTCTACTTCTCCCATTCTTCCTGGATAATTTCATCCACACCCAGTAGCTTCAGCTACTGTCCCCACAGGGATGACTCAGAAATCCAGTCCACCCTCCCTTCTGGGCATGAGACCCATGTGCCCAGCTACTTGCTCGACATCCTCACTAGAAAGTCCCACTGGCACTTTTCACTCGACAAACCCAAACCAAAGTTCATCTTTTCCCCCAAGTCTGATTCTTCCAGTCATCTAAGCTATAAACCTGAAAAACAGCTTGACTCATTCCTCCATTCCCTCCCCCACCAACCTATTTTACCTTCTAATTCAGGGGTTCCCTGATCAGAGGTGGATAAGAATCACCTGGGAATTATATGAGACTCTCAAGCTGGGGGAATTGTATAATTTTAAGAAAGCTCCTACGTGATGTAAATATACTATACCCCACACATTCCCAACCCCCAACCACCCTGAGAGAATTTGTGACTGAATCCCCATCTCACCTTCCTCTCATGGGTGTTGTGGGGATCACATGAGATAATGGGGAACACAAAGGTCTTTGTAAACTGCCAAGGGCTGGGTACGTAGGATGTGAGAAATTATTGTCGGGGGCAGACATCTGAGTGCCAGGAGGAAAGAAGAGGCTGTCCCAGTCATGAAGAAGGGGTACTGATGCCCATCTGGCCTGAGAAGATGATAATCTGACCTCCTCCTCTCAGGAAATGCAGTTTTTGTACCAGTCAGGGGCCACTTCATTCTCTACCAATGTGCTTGTTGCCGAGACAACAGGCAGCTTCCTGTTACCATAGCCACAAGTGCTACCCAGTAACCATGGTAATGCCCTGGCAGTCACAGTTGAGCAACTTCTTTTGGATAAAATTTGAGGGTAGGGAATGGGGAGGGTTTATTTAAAAAAGAGAAAGGAAAGAAAAACAGGCCAAGCCTGAAACAGTACAGTTTTCCTCTCACCCAAGGCTCAGGTTCTTATCTGCTCTGACACACCCACCCCGCTGTGTGGAGCACCTGCAGTGTACCCTACTGTGAGCGGGCACTGAGATAGCAGCAGGACTCAGGATGCAGTCTAGACAGCATGACAGATCAGTCCAAGCAGATCAGGGAGAGCTGGACAGGTCTGGACTGGCCTAAACCAGGGACCAGGAGGACAGGACCTGTCCCTGGGCATAGCCACCTGTGATTGTGGAGGAGAGACCAAGAGATAGAGCCATGGAGAGCAGAGGCACAGGGAGAGATGAAGAGGCATGGAAAGACAGATATGATGAGGGACAGTAAAAGACAGATCTAGAAAGGGGCAAGGAAAGGGAAATACTGGTAGAGATGGGTAAGAAACAAGTGGATAACAGGTCAGGAAGGAAAGGCAGGGAGGAGAGTGGCAGGGAAAAAAGGAAAGAAGAGTAGAAGCCTGGGGTTGGGGGACAATGAGGGTGAGCAAGACCATCGTTATTTTATTAAATAGATCTCTTAAATAGATCCTGAGAATTTCTCCCTGGAGCCTAGAGTGGCGAGCAATGTGACAGCAGTTGTTTCCATGGCAGTTGTCTCCCCAGGCTGGGTTTTTGGGGGAAATAGAGCTCACTGATGCTCTGGGAAACATCCCTTTCCTCCTCTCCCACTCCCCCACCCTTTGATGGAGAGTAGACATTAGGTAGTATGTACATGTCCTACATGGACCTGGCAGAGTCCAGGAGTCAGAGGCTGGGCACCTAGGCTTTCCACCACTTTGGCATGCTACCAGCATTCCCTGAACTTTTTGAAGATCCCCAGGCTGGGCCCTTCAGGGGAGACAGCAATGACCATGGGAACTCTGTCCTTAAAGTCTCACAGAAGGGAAGATAATGCCACCATTTGCTGAGAGCCTAGTGTGTGCCAGGCCCTTCCTGGGCACTTTACATGCATCATCTCTAAATTTCTTCCAGCTTCTCTGCAAGGTAATACCATCATCCCACATTATACACAAGAAAGCTGAGGCTGAGGGAGGATAATTATTTGTCCAAGATTATATGGTGGGTAAGCAGTTGAGCTGGAATTCCGCCCCCACCCCCCCATTCTTTCTGACACTGAAGTAGATAATTTTTGTATTGTGCTGCCTGACTGTGTTCTTAAGACATGGACACAAGTAATGGGGTACAGAGGGACCACAGCCTTAGGAGGAGGGCAAGGTAATGTGTTCTGGGAGAAGCTGACTCGAGCTGGGGAGGCTGACTCAGGGAAAACTTCATGGAGGAGGCAGATTTGACCTGGGGGATCATTTGCAAGACTGGAGCCATTGGGCCATGTGGAGGCAATGGGAGAAGTAGGGTTGGAAGCTGAGCACCCCAGATACTTTGGGTATGGAGAGGGAGCTGCCAGTCTGAATAAGGAGCAAGGGTTCTGGTGGGCACCTAGCATGGAGGTAGCCAGCATAGAACAAATAGAACAAATTACTTTTGAATCAGGTAGACATGGATTTAAATCCTGGCTCCATCACTGGTAACTTCTCTAAGGTCTGTGAAACTCAGTATCCACATTAGTAAAACGGAGAATCATGACCCTATTTTGCAGGGTTGTGGTGAAAATGACAATGGCTAGATCTTAGTAGGTGCACCAGATGTAATGTGAGCTTCCCCCCTCCCCCCAAAAGGAACAATATGAAACAAAGGTAGGCAGGCAGGGGTCAGATCAGGACAGGTTGTGAAAACCATGACAAGGAATTTTGACTTTGTTGTATTTCAAAGGCAACGGGATCCAGGGAAGGAGTTTAAGTAGGGGAATAATCTCATGAAAGAGCCCATGAGCCATCACTATGTAGAGAAAAGATTGGAAAGAGGAAGATTAGAGGCAGGAAAATCAGTGATACAGGTTAAGGGCAAGGGTGACCTGGAGCAGGGCAGAAGGAAATGAACAGATTCAAGAGATGTTTGGAAGAATTAACTGGACTAAAATTCTGGTGGGTGTGGAGCCTGAGGGAGAGGAGTGAATGTTGGATAACTCTCAGGTTTATGGCTTAGATGTTGGGGAAGTTGGCAGTTTGGAAGTTTGGATGTGCTGGGGAAGTCCACAGGGGATGAGCCCAAGAGGATGAGGACAGAATTGGGCTCTGAGCCTTCAGTTTCCATTGTGAAGTGGTTAGGGAGGACACCTGGGGTTTAGGTATACTCTGTGTGGCTGGAGGAAAGGGTTGCCCACGTAAACTTCCTGGGCAACCCTGCCCTGTCTTGTTTCTGCCACAACCAGAGGACAGATGTGGGAGTGGGGTGAGATAATCGTGGTTCTCCTTTGGAGAAAGAAAGGCATTGCCTCCTTGGTCAAGAACTTGTCATGGGACCTCAGGTGAGCTCTTGCCCCTGGCTGAGCACCTACTTCCTTGAAGTTTCTTAAGTGGAGTCCAAGCTCATTGTCTCCTTCAGAACCCAGACTCAGAGGGGAAGTCAAGAGACAATGTCAGAGCCCTGGCCGGTTTTGCTCAGTGGTTAGAGCATTGGCCTGCAGTCCAGAGAGACCCGGGTTCGGTTCCCACTAAGGTCACGTGCCTCAGTTGCAGTTTATCCCCGGCCCTGGTTGGGTTGTGTGGGTGGTGGTCACTCGATGTGTCCCTTTCACGTCGATGTTTTTCTCTCTCTCTCTCCCTCCCTCTCCCTCCTGCTCTGTCTGAACAAAAAAATGGAAAAATGTCCTTGGGTGAGGATAAAAAAAAAAGAGACAATGTCAGAAAGAGAAGAGAAAAACCTACTCCAGACAATGAAATGGCAGCACAGATACACACAGGCCCTGGTCCTTCTGCCCCCATTAACAGAGGAAAGACAACACTACCCTTTCTTTCTTCCTGACTTGCCTAAAATTTCTTCCTTTAGGCTCAGTATTGCTCTCTTTAAACTCGTCTGTCCTGATGCCAACTTCTCCCTCCACTCAGGACTCATGCTCTCAGCCCCTTCCTCCACCACGGGAAGAATGTTTATCAGAACTTTTCCAAAGAAGGGAGCAATGGTGAGTCTAAGAGAGGTGTCATGGGTGCAGGGAAGGGTGAAGCAGAGAAAAAGCAAATGTCACCATTTCAGCAGTTTGTTCTTCCTCACCCCCCCCCCCTTAATTTAATCTACTACCAAGTTCCATTTGTTCTAGAATCTATGTGGATATCCTCAAGTCCATCCTCTTCTTCCCATTCCTGCCCTATCCCCAGCTCCAGGTCAGAGTCATTATCCATCTGCACTCAAGCAACAAGTGTTCTAAAGAGTCATCCTGCCTCCAATGTTGCTTCCTCTCCAACCCAACTATCACACTATAGCCTGAGTGATCTTTTAAAACCAGTCCCTCACTCTTCCATGCTTGAAATATTCCAGTGCTCCCCCATTGCAAGCCTCTCAGTAAAGCCCAAGATCCCAATCCCAAGATGGAGAGTCAAAACTTGTGAGTTCTGCCCTGGCTGGTTTGGCTCAGCGGGTAGAGCATCGGACTGTGGTCCAGAGAGACCTGGGTTCAGTTCCCACTAAGGGCACGTATCTCAGTTGCAGTTTGTCCCCGGCCCTGGTTGGGTTGTGCACCCTGGTTGGGTTGTGCAGGTGACAGCCACTCGATGTGGACCTTTCACGTCAATGTTTTTCTCTCTCTCTTCCCTCTCCCTCCCACTCTATCTGAACAAAAAATAAAAAAAATGTCCTAGAGTGAGGAAAACACACACACACACACACACACAAAACAAAACAAAACCAAAAAACGTGTGAGTTCAGCCTCTCCTGCTGCCCAGCATACACAATATTCTCCATTCACATGGAGCCTTAGCCATCTTTTCTGCACACCTTCCCTGACAATTCTCACACTGTCCCCAGAATTCTAGAAGTGGTTGTTGTCTTTTAAGTTTCTAGGACCTCAAATATAATGATATATGATCACAATTCAGCTCTGATAGCATCTCCTATATGAAGCTTCTCCTCCCTCTTCATTCCTGATACTTCTTTTACACACTCAGATGTAAAACCCACTGAGGTGCGATGAGTTATTTCTGGGATGGAAGCTCCTTGAAGGCGAAGGCTCTGACTCACTCACTGGGTAGGTGCTATATACAAATGCCTTTGTGTGAGTTAGAAAAAATGTGCCCCATCCTCTGGACTGACACATTCCTGTGCCAATGTGCATGGCTTGGTCAGTAGAGCATGGCTGGATTTTATCCCCTATTTGCTCTTTCTACTCAAGCTGTTTTGTGCAGGGCACAACCTGCAAAAGCAAATGTACTCAATTATGTCTGTTTCCTTCACAGTGTTTGAGGGTTGGATGCCCAAGGGAAAGGAGGTCATAGGCAGAGAGAGAGACAACTAAGAGGGCACCTTCTGAAGGTGGAGCAGAGGTTGGGCTTTACCTTCTTCAGCTAGATTCTGGAACCTAAAGTGTGGCTGAAGAAAGTGGTTCCAATTTCATGGAGAAGAAGCTGCAGAAGATAGGACAGATGACTGAAGTCTGAAGGAAGTCTTGAATAAAGAGACAAGCTTTGACAGGTGACAAAAATTAGCAGGGGGCAGATGGAGGGGAACAAAGGAGGTTTCAGTCCAGCAGTTACCATCAAATTTCCCTTAGGGATTTAGGCTTTCTCTTTGGAGTTGACCCAACATCTCCTGGTCCCAGTGATAAACCTTCCTGTCTCCAGGAGCTCAGATTGATCTTATTCCTGCTTCTCCAGCAGATGGCAGCTGTGCCCAAGACCCAGTACTTGCAGGGAGCTGGGCACCCTCCTCCCTCCATGCTGGTGGGCTTGAGGCCAGGTGACTAAAGCTACCGCTGCCCCTGGCAGGCCCAGAGGAAAGATTGATGGCACGGACATTGCTGGGGCTGGCCAACAGAGCCATTGATTTTCATTTAGGAGAATTAAATATTAATTTTCACTTTGTTAAACTGGGAGGGTGAATAAAGCCAATCCTGGCAGTGCCAGAAGAAGCCAGTCTATATTGGAAGATTGCAGATGAAAGCTGGGAGTGGGGGGAGCACAAATGTTTTCAGTCACCAACACTTCCGGAACCTTTGACCCTGTCTGTCACCTGGTTGGTTCAGGTGACAGTGATTGAATTCTGGAGCCAGATTACCTGGTCTCAATGCCCAGATCTTCATATTTGTAGCTACATACCTTGGGCAAGTCACTTGTTTTCTATGACTCAATTTCTTCACCTGTAAAATGGGAATGCCAATAACAAAACCTTCTTCATAGAGGATTAAATGACTTCGAACATCTAAAGTTCTAGAATCAATATTATTTCTCTTTTCTCCCCCAGAAATTATTCCAGTAATCTAGGGCTTAAAACCCTTGATGTCAGGTGCCCTCAGCCTCATAGAGTCCTCTAGGTGCCCCTTTTCTTTTGGAACCCTGTCACTGGATGAGGAGGGGTTTTGTTCTCCCAAAGTTCATTTGAATTTTTTTTCAGTGCTTTTCATTTGCTTTCAGGATCAAGTCCAAACTCCTCAGACTGAATTCCAAAGTTTCCTCTTCAACCACTGCCCTCTGTGGATCTTCTCTGTGCCAGGCCCGTTCTCTAATAAGTCTTCCCCCCATACTTCCAACCTCATTTTACACCCATCTTGTTCCTTTAGTCTCTGCACCTTTACCATGCTGTTTCCTACATGAAATGTTCGTTTGTCTCAGTTGATAATTCTAATTTGAGCAGCAGAAGTCATTTACTCCTATGGTTGGATGAAGGATGACTTCTACTCCTCCTCCTACTAATGCTGTTATTACTACTACCACCACCACCAGCTAACTATTGAGTGCTTATTGTCTACCAAGCACTGTGTTAAGCACTTTACATGACTTAGTTTATTTAATTTTTATAATAGCCTTATGAGTTCAACCTTATAACTGAGGAAACTTAGGCTTAGAGAGATAAAGATTTGCTCATGTCACAGAGTTAGTGAGTGGTGGGGTCTGGATCCACACCCAGGTCTGCCTGACTCCAGGGCCTGCATACAGAGGACTGGTAAGGGTGACAAGTTAGTGTTACTTGATACTGAATCTTCAACAGTGAGGCTCAAATTGCTTCAATTACTAGGATAGGTTCTAGGATCTGACACCCCATTAACAGCTTGATCAGCTCTAAGCAAAGCTTGTCCCATTGCTTGGCATATACAATCGAAAGGGATGACTTCTTCATACTGAGCTGAAATTAGTGTGTCTGTTCTTTATACCCCCTGATCCTGATCCTGCTCTCTGGGGCCACTCATAGAAAACCAAATCCCTTTTCTGAATCTGAAGGTGGTTACCCCACCCCAAACAATAATGTTTGTCAAGATACTACTCTGTGACAGGCTCTTGCTAAGACTCAGTTAATCCTCATGATAGCCTAGTGAGCTAAGTGTTAATATAACCAAGTCCTTATAGATGAGGAAATTGAAGATCAAGAGGCTAAGTAATCCAGAGACACAGAACTGGTAAATGGCAGAGCTGGGATTCAAATCCAGGTCTTTGAGACTAGAAAACTAGTACTCTTAATTATTATGTTATGATGCCTCCCTATTAAAGCCCCCACTAAAATCTGTCTTCTCAGATAAATATCTCCAATTTCTTCAAACTATCATACCATATATATTTTATGTCCCATCATGGTCTCTTTATGGTAGGCTAATGACCCTCTTAAATCTGAGGCCTAGAACTGGATATAGTCCCAGGTTTGACCTGCCCAGGGCATTTCAATAGTGCTTTTGCTCTAGACACATCACTCTTTGGACAAGAGAAAATGATGATGGGTAGTATGACTACTGGATCTTGGTGAACCTATGCTAGTTCCTTACAATTACCACTGTCTTCCTGCCTCATGGTCAGTAGATTCCACTTTGCCTTTTGATTAGCCATTAGCTAAGGCCATACTAGGTGCCACTGATATATAATGGCCCAGCTGCCTGTAGAATCAGGTCTCTCATACCTTAGCCAAATGTTTAAGATATAGAGGAAAGGCAATCTTGGTGAGTCAAGGCACCCTGAAAAACATCACAGGAAGAAGACCAGAGGGACATGCCATCAAGTCCCCCAGAACTAGAGAAAATGGGATACCAGCCCAACAGAGCCTCTAACCTATGTATCTGCATACATGCTCACACCAGTGACAAATGACACTTGAAGCCATGATTTTAGCCAAGGTGGAAGATTGTATAGTCCACAACACTGATGTCTATTCTAAAAGATGGGGTGTGACACTTGGCCCAAGCGTCTTGAGCCCATTTCTCTGAGCCAGAAGACTGAATATAAAAAAGAACCTGTACCTGTTCAGGTCACAAGTAAGCCCTCTTCTACAAAGATGATTCTGCTGCTAGTTTCTGATTCCAATCCAGCTCCTACATACTGCTTTGCCATGCATGGAGAGCATGTCCCCAGCTTGAGGTGATTCCCACCCCCCCAACACTTTTGGACTTACCCCTGGCAGGGTCTTCTGCTCGTGCAGTGCACTCTGGGCCTTGAGAGCAGAGTCCCGGGCGCAGTAGGTGAGGAAGGCACAGCCTGGGGAGGAAGAGGCTGGCTCAGGGGGTTTCCTGAAACCCCCAATACTCTTCCTAGAAAGATCCCATTAAGTTGACAAACTCAAGGCCATTCTCCTTTAACCAAGGACACTGCTTCTTCTCTGCCTCCTACCTTCTCTGAAGGGAGGGCCTTCATGTGCTTATGTTTCCGGCTCTGACTCTCTCATTTTCTCTTGGCTTCCTGCCTAGGAAACATGTGTACTCACACCCAGTCACATGCTCACACAATCCCACATCTCTCCTCACCACTCCAGCTGTAAGTCCTGTTGGGGTTAAACCTCCATAATCCTCTTTGCCTTCAGCTTTAACCTCAGCCATCCCTTTCCTTTTTGGATTCATACTCATAGAGTATCCCAACTCAGTTTCAATGGGAGGAGGCAGAGAGGAGGAGGAGGGTTGGGAGCCAAGTCCAGGAACCCATAACTTCTTAATACTTCCTCCAAGTTTGAAACTGAGGAATGGGTTAATTTGAGACTTGGAAAATGAGGCTGGTTTAAGGGCTTTCTGTAGGTAAAAACTTCCAGTGATCTCCCATCCTATCCAAGGAGCTTGATCAGTTAGCTCTCCCAAGCCTTCAAGATATGGCTTCTTAAAGGGTTATTGTGCCTCATATCTGACTTCATTAAAAGAGCCAGTAGATGTAGGGCAGAGAATGAGTCTGAATTGAACCAAAGGGTCAATCCTATCCCTCTAGGAAGCACTGAGGTTGGGATCTCTTTCTTTTCAATAGGCATTGAGTACTCACTTAGAAAATATTTATTGAATACTTACTTATTTTGTTGGGGCATTTTGATGGGCTTGGGGATAAAGTGGCAATAAGACAGATACATTCTCTGTCCTCATGGGGATTATGTAGAGGATCATGAAGGGCATGCAACTGAGTCCAAAGAATTGAGTAATGTCTCAAAGAACACATTGAGTTCTCAATAATAAACAGAGTCTAACCAGGTGACAAAAAGGGTGGTGATTTCAGACAGAGGGAATAGCACACATGAAGACTCAGTCAAGAATTCAGTATGTTGACAAAATGGATGAAAGGCTAATATAGTTGGGGATTGCTAATGGGGGCAGAGTGGCCAGTTAGGTATGCAAGGATCAGGTCATCTATATAGCCTTGTACACCTCAGTCTGGATTTTGAACTATTTTCCTAGGAGCAGTGGAGAGCCACTAAAGGGTTTTAAGCAGGGTTGTGATGTAAGATCTATTTCTAAAAAGAGTCTTTGAGTGTAGAAAGGAGAAATACTAAAGGGAGAGAAAGTGGATGTGGGAAGGAGCTTGGTGCAGTTTTCCACTTAGACCTCAGCAGACTAGAAAGGCAAATGGGAACATTTTCTCCCATGTCTTCTATGTGGGTTCTCCCTTAAGGTGGGTGGATATCTGCCATTTGTTGTGTGAAAGGAACCTCAGAAAACTTATTGTATCAATAGGGAAACAAGCTCAGAGAGTGTGTTAGTGGCAGGAGGTTGAGGTTGTTTTCAAAAACACTGTGGCTGCCTCCCTCTGTACCCAGCCACCGAAAGGAAAATGAGTCACTGGCTTTTGGACATCACTGTTGCTGGGGAGAGGATGGAAAAGGTGTTGACTTGGAGACCCTCCCTGATCATTTTGCAAGGCAAACCTGTCTTGGAGAGTTTTGGGTTAGTTTAGAACTAAATCACCAAACACCTGCTTCATCTTACATCTCTGCTCCATCTTCTGCCACCATGCCATATCAACTGACATCAAAACTGGATAGGGCTGGGGCCCTATCTGAAAGGTTCAGGGGCCCAGTTGTGGCCTGAAGGAGCCTGTGTGAACCACCTGGGATGGAGATGAAAAAATGGAGGAATGGGAAGACAGAGAAGCATGTTAAGACAGATGAATGAAAAAAAAAAAAAAAAAAAAAAAAAAAATTAGAGCTAAGTGGAGAAAGGGAGGGAGGGAAGAAGGGAGGAAGAGAGAGGATGAGAAAATAGTTTAGTGACTCTGATAGTGAAAAGAGTAAGAAGAGTGAGAATTAAAGGTATTCTATACATTCCCCTTACTGTAAAGATGGCCCAAAAAAGATTAGCTTGAATTTATATACTGAAATAAATGTCTAGAAAATAAGAAAACAAATTGCTGTGGATGGATGGACAGCCAGGAAGCTGGACTGCATTAGAAGGAATCTGGATGGTATAGTCTTATTCTTTTATGCCCTATTTAATACAATCTCAGCCCAAATGGTAGAAGTTGCACTGCTACCTAGCTGGTCCAGATCTTCTATGGGCATTTATTTTCCTGAAGCTCCTGTATTATTGTGTCTAGGAACTTCCCAAAGCCTTCCAGTGGAAAAGAGATGGCAGCCTGATTATAGCTCTTAGCCCTTGGGAAAGTACCTTTAGCTGTTACCCAGGGCCCACCACCTTTCTTCTAAAAAGATCATGGAGGATAGAAGGTAAACCTGTCCCCCTTCTCGCCAAATCCTAAAACTGCATATGGTGAAGGTAAGGAGGGATAAAGGTGTTTCTCTTCAAGTCATTTTCTTCCCCCATCTAAGTGACTCTGGCTTTCTGACTCCAGCTAGCCTGGCCAGACTTTTCTGCATGTAAACAGCCTCCTCCCTCTCTCTACAGGAAGAAAGGGGTGTGGCTGGACAAGACTATGTTGTCTCTATCTCTCCAGCTAGGGCAGGGAGAAGACCCTTTTCTGCCTCTTCAACCTGACCCACCCTAAGGCTTTGGTCCACAGACTCTGGTCCAGGACTAGCTTGTGAGGGAAGGAAGGCAGGAAGCTATAGGAGGATTGGGGAGGGGCAAAAATAAGGCACAGGATTGGAGAGATTAGAGAATGAAAGTAGTGTGGTTTCAGCTGAGAGAAAACCTGAGATGGAGGGGGACATAAGGTGGCAGGAGTTCCAACCTGAGGTCAGGGTTCTGGTCTCAAATCAGAAGAGGCACACTATGTTGTGATTCTGGCAGGGAGTAGGAGAGATTTACTGTTAAACATGAGGGTGGAATTTGGAGCTGAGAGCCTCCTGGGAAAGAAATTGGATTTTGTGAGTTAAGTAGGCCTGGGTTCTGAAGAAGGGTCAAGTTTGGATCTATGGTATTTCAGTTTGGCAGTCTGAGTGAAAAGAAGGCTCTAGAGGTTGGTTGGACTTGGAGGTCAAAATGAGGGATGCAAGTCCAAGATATGTGTGTGGATGGTTAGGCCTGAGTCAGGCGGCACCAGATGAAGATGTTCAGGAATGATTGAGTCCAGCATTGAGGAAATTGAGGGCATTAGAGACCTAGAAGGTGGAATAAATTTCCAAATTCCAGAATGTGGGATGTCTAATGGTAGGGATGGAAGGAGGTCCAGCTGAAAGGTGGGGACTGTTGGGATGTAAGAGGTGAAGGGTAGGAAGTTGGAGGTTAGAGTTCAGAACATGTCAGGGAACCAGAGTGATTATCAGAAGGAACATGTCAGATAAAATTCTGGGTCGGGGCTCTGTGGTCTGAGGAGGATGTTGGGTTGAAGTGAGGCTGGTATTAGACTGGTGTTGGACTGGCTCTAGGTAGGGCTAGGGTTGAGGCTGGAGTTTGGGCTGGGCCGAACTCTAATCAGATTGGGGCTGGGCAGGGCTGAGCAGAGCTGGACTGGGCTGGGCAGGGCTGGGCAGGGCTGGACTGGACTGGGCTGGGCAGGGCTGGGCAGGGCTGGACTGGGCTGGGCAGGGCTGGGCAGGGCTGGACTGGGCTGGGCAGGGCTGGGCAGGGCTGGACTGGGCTGGGCAGGGCTGGGCAGGGCTGGGCAGGGCTGGGTAGGGCTGGGCTGGGCTGACCCCGCGCACCTTTGTGGAGGCCGGTGAGCCGGTCCTTCAGCACCGTCAGCTCGTAGATGCGGCCGAACTCCTCGAACAGCGGCTTGAGGTCCTGCTCGTCTAAGCCCCGCGGGATCTGCCCCACGAAGAGCTTGATGGCGTCGTGGTCCTTCATGGGCACGGCGGGACCTGGGTTTAGCCCGCTGATGCCTACGCCGCTGTCCGCGGTGCTGAAACCCAGGCGCGGGACGGGGCCGGCGGGCGGTGCTGACCCTCCGGGCGCCGCGGCCATATCCCCGGCCGGTCCGCCCTCCCGCCAGTCCCACCGGTCCCGCCTGTCCCGCCGTCCCCTCCCTGGACCGCTAGCGAGGGCCAGGAGGGAGGGGGCGGGGACGCTGAACAGGGGGCGGGGTCCTTGGTGGAGGGGCGTAAAAGGAGTGGAGCGGGCTAAAAGGGGGCGGGGCCGGGGGCGGGGCAGGCCCGGACAGAGCCGGCGGGATGCTGGGGTCCGGCTTGAGGTCCTCGAGCTGCGTTCTCTGGGCTCCTGCCCGAGCTTTCCCGGAGCTGAGCCCGGAGCTTCTGACCCCGTGATTTATGACGTCAAGCAGAGGGGCCGCGGAGTCTACGCAAATAATTTGCATAATGAGGAAGCAGCGGCCAATCAAAACTGGAGCTGACTGGGCTCTGCCGGGGGCTAAGGGGCGGCTGGACTCACGAGCTCCTGCTCGCCATGACAACCGGACCTTAGGGTGCCCTGTGTATTCATCGAGTGTGTGCGGGCGTGGCCATGAATCGCGCGTGTGCGCCTTGTACTGCATGAGGGGAAGTAGCTTCGTCATGGGTGGTGATGTCTGCAGGAGTCGGAGTTACTCCCTCCCTCACACACAGGCACACACACCTTGGACCACAGGGGCCTTTCCTGCGAGGGTGGACGGGGATCCCTCTTCTTTATTCCCACTGCCAAAGCCAATTCCTTGGAGCTATCCTACCCCACCTCATCACACATCTCTGTCTTCGAAGTCTTCCACCATCTTTATCCACGAGCCTCAAACATGTTCGTCTGTCCTGCATCCCCTCCCATCCCCATTATTTTTAATTTTAAAGAAAAAAAAAATGGAATAAAATAAAACAAAGACACTCCTGGAACACGGATTCCTCCTCAGGAGAGGGAACTTATATTAGTCATATTTTCTCAGATACCTAGTTCATTCCAATTCCGTGAACTAAGGAGTGTTATTTACCTTTTTGGACAAGAAAGTTGAGAATGAAGGAGGTTAATTTGGATCAGGCCTCTCCCTAACACCTGCTGAGCCCAGGGCAAGAGAAAAACTGGAAATAGCCTAACTATGTGTTTTCATATTTAAAAGTTGTCAACCTGGATGGGTGGCTCGGTTGGTTGGAGCATCGTCCTATACATCATGTTTCTCTCTCACATCAATGTTTATCTCTCTGAAATTAATAAACATATCATCAAGTGAGGATTTTTTAAAAAGTTGAGCACCCTCCTCCCCCAGTGGTTGAGCGTGGACCCATGCACCAAAAGGTCGCCAGTTCGAGTCCCGGTCAGAGCACATACCCAGGTTGTGGGCCCCATCCCTAGTGTGAGGCATGCAGGAGGCGGCCAATCAATGTTTTCTCTCATCAATGTTTCCATCTCTCTCTCCCTCTCCCTTCCTCTCTCTCTCAAATCAATAAAGAAAACAACATATTTTTTAAAATGTAGGCAAGATGGTGGCTACTGAGAGGGTTGGGGAGGCTACGCAGGACAGTGGAGCCCAGTCAGCCCCAGCCGCTCCAGCAGTAGCAGCAAGAAGAAGTGATGGTGGCTGAGGCTGGAGAACCGGTGGCATCTCCTATGGACTACGGGTTCCTCAGCCTGCACTCACGGACTTATGGTCTGTACAGAGACAGAAAGGAATGGGCTGATATAGATCCAGTGACACAGAACGATGGCCCTAATCCAGTGGTCCAAATCATTTACAGTGAACAATTTAGAGATGTTTATGATTATTTCCGGGCTGTTCTGCAGCATAATGAAAGAAGTGAACGAGCTTTTAAATTAACCAGAGATGCTACTAAGTTAAATGTAGCCAATTACACAGTGTGGCATTTCTGGAGAGTTCTCTTAAAATCACTTCAAAAGAATCTACATGAGGAAATGAACTACATCACTGCAACAATTGAAGAACAGCCCCAAAACTATCAAGTTTGGCATCATAGGCTAAAAGATCCATCTCAGGAACTTGAGTTTATTACTGATATTCTTAAATAGGATGCAAAAAATTATTATGCCTGGCAACATTGACAGTGGGTTATTCAGGAATTTAAACTTTGGGATAATGAGCTGCAGTATGTAGAGCAACTTCTTAAAGAGGATGTGAGAAATAATTCTGTGTGGAACCAAAGATACTTTGTAATTTCTAACACCACTGGCTACAGTGATCATGCTATATTGGAAAGAGAAGTCCAGTACACTCTGGAAATTATCAAACTAGGACCACATGATGAAAGTGCATGGAACTATTTAGAAGAGATTTTGCAGGATTGTGGTCTTTCTAAGTATTCAATCTATTAAATCAATTACTTGATTTGCATCCAAGTCACAGTTCCCCCTACCTAATTGCCTTTCTTGTGAATATCTATGAAGATATGCTAGAAAATCAATGTGACAACAAGGAAGACATTCTTAATAAATTATTAGACTTATGTGAAATTCTAGCTAAAGAAAAGGACACTATAAGAAATGAATATTGGAGATATATTGGAAGATCTCTTCAAAACAAACAGCACAGAAAGTGACCTACCAGCAAATGTACAGCAATAATACTATCTAGAAGAATTTGATAGAATGCTTCTATTTTTTTTAAGAGACTCTAATGCAGGAGTTTAAAACTAGAGTGATCATTCCCTTTGCCTGTGGTGTAAAACATGCATTGCACAGGTATTGCTTTTTAACAAGAACTAAGTACGATGTTCCTTGGGTGCTGCTGCCATTCAGACTGGCTCTAAGTGACTTGATTCTTTTAAAGCAAAGTAATTTGGGGGGGAGGGAGAAGAAACAAAGTCCCAAAAGAAACTTTTGTAGTCTTGTCGACATTTACTGTAATCCCTTGGTATCAGCTCCTCCCTAAATGATATCTGCATCAGAATTTGCAGCATTAATGATTACAGATAACTTGTATGTAATGGACATGAGATAACTTAAATTTCAGTTCAGGAAGCAAGGAATGCAATTGTTATGTTACAACTGCTATGCTACATTCACAGTCTCTTGCTATCTATCACTGTAACCAACTAATGCCAAAATAATGGTTTTGTAATAAAATTATAGATGTATCCTAAAATAAAGTTGTAAATCAAATTGAAATTTGTTAAATAAAATATGTTCACCCCTCTTGTCCGGCCAGTGTGGCTCAGTGGTTGAACATCAAGCCATGCACCAAGAGATCACTGGTTCAACTCCTGACCAGGGCACATGCCCAGGTTGTAGGCTTGATCCTCAATAGGGGACATGCAGGAGGCAGCCAATGGATGTTTCTCTCTCATCGATGTTTCTGCTTCTCTCTCTCACCTTTTCTCTCTCTCTTAAAAAATTTTTTTTTCAATAAAAATATATTAAAAATATATTAAAAATATGTGTCTCTTATTTTCACAAATACATGTTCATAATAAAAATGAAAAATATATGTAAAGCTGTTTTTTATGACAGAAAATTGTCAAAATATCCAAGTGGATGGAATTTTACTACTTTGTGCAAGTCTGAGTATTCTCTTGATGGGCCAGTGAGGTTTGGACAGAGGAGTAATACAAGAAAGATAAATAATTTATAAGTTGTATATATTTATTTTATAAAATACATTTTCTTTCCCACTTTCAAGTAAAATTGCTAACCTGTGTCCACTGATTATTTTAAGAAACTTTTAAGAGTAGCAGTAATGCCCTGGCCGGTTTGGGTCAGCAGTTAGAGCGTTGGCCTGTGGTCCAGAGAGACCCAGGTTCGGTTCCTGATAGGGGCACGTACCTTGGTTGCAGTTTGTCCCTGGCCCTGGTTGGGTTGTGTGGGTGGCAACCACTCGATGTGTCCCTTTCACGTCGATGTTTCTTTTTCTCTCTCTTCCTCTCTCCCCCTCCCACTCTATCTGAACAACAACAACAACAACAAAAAAAAGGGAAAAATGTCCTTGGGTGAGGATAAAAAAAAGAGTAGCAGTAGCAATTGGAATCAATAAAATAATACAGCAAAATTCAAATTCAAAACTAAACTGTGAGTTTTGAAAGTTATTTTTAAACTTTTAATTACCTAGTTATGAAATGAGTTGGCAGGATATTTCACTTTCATTGAGTTCAATGTATTTTAAAATTTACTTTGACTAAGGGACTACATCAAACTAAAAATCTTCTGCACAGCAAAAGAAACAACATCAAAACGGAAAGGGATCCCACTATATGGGAGACCATAATCGTCAATGATGCATCAGATAAGGGGTTAATTTCCAAAATATATAGAGTGTTCATACAACTCAACAAAAGAAAGACAAAAAACCCAATTTAAAAATGGGCAGAGGAACTAAATATAAATGTCTCCAAAAAGGACATACAAATGGCCGAGAGACATATAAAGAAATGCTCAACATCACTAATCATCAGAGAGATGCAAATTAAAACAACAATGAGGTATCACCTCACACCTGTCAGAATGACGCCATCAACAAATCATCCAACAAGTGTTGGTGAGGGTGTGGAGAAAAGGGATCTCTAGTACACTGCTGGTGGGAATGCAGACTGGTGCAGCCACTGTGGAAAACACTATGGTGTTACCTCAAAAAGTTAAAAATTGAACTGCCATTTGACCCAGTGATCCCACTTCCAGGAATATACACTAAGAAACCTGAAACACCAATCAGAAAGAATATATGTATCCCTATGTTCATAGCAGCACTATTTACAATAGATAAGATCTGGAAACAACCCAAGGTGGGGGGAGAGGAGAGTGTCAATGGGGGGGAAAATGAGAAACATCTGTAACAAAAACAAATTAATAAATAAAAAAGCTGTGGTACATATACACAATGGAATATTATGCATCTGTAAGAAAGAAAAATTGCCCTGGCTGGTTTGGTTCAGCGGTTAGAGCGTTGGCCTGTGGTCCAGAGAGACCTGGGTTTGGTTCCTGCTAAGGGCATGTACCTCGGTTGCAGTTTGTCCCGGCCCTGGTTGGTCGTGCGGGTGGCAGCCACCCGATGCGTCTCTTTCACGTCGATGTTTCTCTCTCTCCCTCCCACTCTATCTGTA